TGCTAACAGTGGAATAGCTTGATTTTATGGAGTTCTTATCTTCAGCTTTTTAAGGAAACACCAAACTGCCTTCCAGAGTTGTCATGCCATTTTACGATCCCACAAACAGTGTATGAGAGCTCCAATCTCTCCACATCCTTTCCAACGTTTATTACATACTGCTGTTGAACTTTATCACTGCTTCTCATTGTGGTTTTGATTTGCATCTCTCTTCATGCCAGTCATTTTGAACATTTCTTCATGTGTTTGTTGGCCATCTGAGTATCTTCCTCTGTAAAAAATTCTTTCTATGTCTTTTGCCCATTTTATAATTGTGCTATCAGTCTTTTTCTTGTAAAAGCCCTGTGGGATTCTGTAAACTTTTGTTCTAAGACCTTTGTCTGAGATAGTATTGCCTAATGTTTTTTACCTAGTCGGTAGAATTTCTTTTCACTGTACTGGAAAATGGTTTTAATGCACTTTTTTCTGTGAAAGTTAATAATCCTCCAAAGTTCACATTCATCATTTTTTCCCTCTCAATGTACATTTCTGGCTGTATTTGTCTTAATATCATATTTCATCTTAATACCTCTAAGCTTGGTCCTATTTTTCCTCTTATTAACTTTATGGGTTTGGGCTTTACCCCTACGCCTCTGTTTCACTGTAATACGATTTTTGTGTATCATGTGAGATGTGGATCCTGTTTCAACTTGCTGTAAGTAGCAGTCCAGTTTTGCTAACACCATTTGTTGAAGAGGTTGGAGTTTCCCTATTTGGTATATGTTGTTTCCTTGTTAAATATCAATTGCCCATAAATATATGGGTTCCTTTCTGGTTTCCCAATTTTGTTCCATTGGTTTATTGCCTGTTCTTCTACTAGTAACATGCTGTTTTGGTAATTATAGCTGTTAGTTCATTTTGAGATCCTGTGCCTCCCACTTCGTTTTTGTTTTTCAGAAGTGCTTTGCTTATTTGAGATCTTTTCCTCTCCAAATAAACTTGCCAATTACCTTTGCTGTCTCCTTGAAAAATGAATTTAGTATCTATATTGGGATTGCATTAAACATATAAATAGTTTTTGGAAAAACTGTTATTTTCACTATATTGCATCTTCTTATACATGAACAGGGAACATTTTTCATTTACTTAGATTTTTTTATTGTTTCCTGTAGAGTTTTTTTAGTTTTTTTTGTAAATATCTTTTTTTAATCTCTAGTTAAGTTTATTCCCAAATATCTCAGTTTGTGGTTGGCTAATGAAAATGGTATTGCTTCCTTGGTTTGCTGTTGTTTTTTTTTTTTTTTTTCTTTACTTGGTTTTCTTTGTTACTGTAGAGGAATCCCATTGATTTTTGGATTGTTGTTGTTAACTACTGTCGAGTCGTAGGCAACTCATAATGACCCTATGAATGAAAGACATGAACGCTTGTATAACTTTCATTCTTTCTCCAGGTTCATAGGGTTTCCTGAGGCAAGCTATTACGGAAGTAGGTGCTGCTCCTGCTTCCAAGCTTGTTTTAATTGGGAAGCTTCATCAAACATCATGGGTAACCATTATCACATTTGACACATCAGTGTCACAGTGTTCAGCTTCACAGCAACCTCTGGACAGAAGTGGACAGACCAGGATTACATGACCTAGAAAAATGTTTGACCAAAAATAATTAAAAATGGTCCTGAGGGCTGCAGATTAAAGTCACCTACCTTTGGCTTGGTAGCATCACTTTCTGTTCACCAGGCCAACTGATCCCTCTCTAATCTGTTGTTGTTGTTATGTGCCATCAATTCATAGGCGACTCATAGTGATCCTATGAGTGATCCAACTCATAACGACCCTATGAATGAAAGACATGAATGCTTGTGTAGCTTTCATCCTTTCTCCAGGTTCATTGGTTCAAAAACTGATTTTTGGATATTAATCTACATATCCTGGCACTTTAGTAAATTGGTCTATTAGCTCTAACAGGTTTATGGCTTGTTTGTTTGTTTGTTTGTTTATTGATTGATTGTCCTTGGGTTTTGGGGGCTTTTATGTGACCTATCATTATCATCTGCATAGAGCTACAGTTTAACCACTTCTTTGCCAATCTAGATGTTTTTTATTTCCTTTCTTGTCAGAATGTCCTAGCAAATGTTTCCAATAAAGTATTGAATAGGAGTGGTTGAAAGTGGGCATCGTTTTCTGGTCCCTGTTTGCAGTGAAAATGCTTTTAGTCTTTCTCCATTGAGAGTGATATTGGCTCTTGCTTTTATATATATAAAGGAAATTCTCTTTTATTTCTATTTTGCTGAGTGTTTTAATCATGAAGAGGCTGTGGATTTTGTCAAAGCATTTTTTCTGCATCAATCTAGGATCATATTGTTTTTGTTATTTGTTTTGTTAATATGGTGAATTACATTGATTGTTTTTTCTGTGTTGAACCTTTCTTGCATACTTGATATGAATCCCACTTGGTCATGAAGAATTATTTTTTTGATGTACAGTTACATTCTATTAGTCAGAATTTTTTTTTAAGGATTTTTTGCATGCGATATATTTGTCTGTAATTTTCTTTTTTGGGAGTATTTTTTATCTTGTGGAGATTATTTAAATTCCGCCTCTCTCTCCTCCCCAAAACCCCAAAACTATTTCTCTGGCAATGGCCAGATTGCAAGCTGGATTTAGAAGAGGTCATGGTACTAGGGGTATTATAGATAATGTGAGAAGGATCTTGGTAGAAAGCAGAGAATACCAGAAGAATGTCTATCTGTGCTTCATTGACTGTGTAAAGGATTTTGACTCTGTGGATCACAACAAGTTATGGCTGACTTTAAGAATAATGGGAATCCCAGAACATTTGATTGTGCTAATGCGAAACCTGTACTTGGACCAAGAGGCAGTCATCAGAACAGAGCAAGGAGACACTACATGGTTCAAAATCAAGAAGGGGTCCATCAGGGATATATTTTTGTCTCCATATCTTTTCAATCTGTATGCAGAACAGATCATCTGAGACAATGGCCTGTACGAGGAGAAATGTGGCATCAGGATTGGTGGAAGAGTCATCAACAACCTGTGCTATGCGATGACACAACCCTAGGAGAACAAACAGGTTTGTCCTGGAGAGGGTGAAGCCAGAATGCTCCTTGGAGGCAAGGATTCTGAAGCTTTATCTGACATACTTTGGGCATGTTGCAAGGAGGGACTGGTCCTTGGAGAGGTACATCATGTTTGGGAAAGTGGAGGGACAGTGCAGGAAAGGAAGACCCTTGATGCAATGGATCGATTCTGTGATTGGAGTGGTGGGAATGAGTGTGTTTGAGACGGCAAAGTTGGCACAGGACAGAACAGAGTTTAGAGTTCTTGTACATGGGGTTACTATGAGTCACAAGCAACTTGATGGCACATAACATCAACAACTTTGTCATGTTTTTGTATTGGGGTTATGCTTGCTTCATAGCATATCTCTGGAAGTGTTGTTATTTTTCTAATTTTTTAAATAATTTAAGTGGAATTAGTGATAGATATTTTCTGAGTATTTTGTAGAATTCAGCTGTGAATTCCAAGAATTTTTGGTGGGAGGTCTTCTTATGGTCTGCTCAGTTTCTTTTTCTGTGATGACTCTGTTCAAGTGTTTACATCTGTCCATGTCAATCTGGACAAGGCATTAGTTCCAAAGAATTTCTCCATTTCTTCTAGATTTTCAGAGAATGGTAATTTATTAGAGTATAGCTTTTCATTATATTCTGATAGTGTAGATTTATTTCCTCTGATTCTATTGTGATATCATATCTGTTATTTCTTAACCAGATTCTTTCTTCCTTCCTTTCTTCCTTCCTTCCTTCCTTCCTTCCTTCCTTCCTTCCTTCCTT